ATCCAACCTAATTATTTTTGGTTTGAAATAAATTAAAATTATCCCAAGCTTAATAACGAAGTATGTAATTTTGCCACATAAGATTTCGAAGCACCAGAAACAGCCACGTAGGCTCAGCGTGTTCTGGATTAATATATAAGGGGAAGGGGGATTTTTCTTTCGTAAAAGAATTGAAGATCAATCCTTGCAAAACACCTTTCCAAAAGTCACAGTTTTCCGCATCATCATTGACGGAAGGGTGAAAAATTTCACATGAAATAAACAAGAAATATATATATATATATATATAGGTAAGGGATCATATGAGAATAAGAGATGGTGAAAGAAATGAGAATAAGTCTGGACCATGGGATCAAGTATATCAATGGTTATGATGAAGTCAAACTATGGTCAATCATTAATGGCAACTTGGTAATTAATTGATTATATTATGATCAAATATGTACATTTGCTAATAATTAAGGGTAAATTGGTCAATACCTATATTATGTGGGTCTCACATACCAATTAAGAAAATACTTTCTCTTTCATTACCACCCCATCTCTTTCTTCTTCAACCCGACATTTTCAGATTTCTACACACACAACACACACACACACACATAGACACACAGACACACAGACACACACACACACACCACACGGCGGCCGACGTTACTATATCCGACGGAGCCAGAACCTTCCTTCGCCGAGCCACAACCACCGGCGACATCTCCACCTGCTGCCACCAGCCACAGCCACCGGCAGCCGCCCGTTTCATCCACACTCGCCACTGTCCTTTTCTTCCTCGCTCGCCGCCGGCCGTTTCATCCAACACACTTCAATGGAAACTGTTTTGCTGCTCGTTGTTCAGACCCAAATCCGGCCCGTCGCCGCCGCGATTTCTTCCTCCTCCACCGCAATTCTTCCTCCTCCTCCTCCGCCGTCCGCCTCAAATACTGTAGAAATGGCCGTCGGGAAACATCGAGATGGCAGTAATGTTCAGTGGTTCAGCATCGGTGTCAACATCCCTCTTTCTGAATTTCACGATTATAAGAATGTTGAAGTTGCGATTTGTGGGGCTCCTAATGTAAATTAGATTGACTTTGGGGCTATTTTGAAAAGTTTATAACTGTAGTTTATTAAATATGATTAAGGATTTAATATTTTTTATTTACTTTAACAAAGTAATATTATATAATTATTCTGTCGATTAAAATAACTACTATATTTTTGTTGTAACTTTGGTAGGTGCAACATATTATTTTATACGGTGCAACATGTTGTGTTATAAAGTGCAATATAATATTCTTTACAGTGCAACATATGGATATATAAAGTGCAATACTTAAATTTTGATACGTTAGCATTTTTTTTTTTTTTGCTTCTTTTTTTCTTCCTTTTTTTTCTATGGATAGATTATCTGATTGATATAAAAGTATTATGTAGACCCATTTTATAGATTTATATTTCGTAATATTTTGTGGAAGTTGTTGACATTAATTGTGGAGTGTGATAATAAAATGTAAAGTGGTGATTTATAAAGTGCAACATGTTGTTTTATAAAATGCAACATTCTGTTGTATAAAGTGCGATAATTTATATCTTTTTATATATAATACGTCTTATTTTATAAGGTGCAACATGTTGTGTTATAAGGTGCAATGTAATATTGTATAGAGTGCAACATATGGATACATAAAGTGCAATACCAAAAATTTTTGATA